AGTGACTTTTTTCGGTAACGAGGAAGAAAAGGCAAAATATGGGGACGATGGGTACCCCCATTTCCAATCCCTATACACACTCTAGACTTTTGTTACCTAACTGTTACACATCCCCCCCCCCAGAAGTCTGTAAAGAATTCTTGAGATTCCGATCAAACAACGACTAACACAAAGGCGGGGGTTCTCTCCGCCCTTTATCTTGCACTGTATGGGCAAACGAACGCATGACCGACCTGGCTAAGGTCGTAACTTGGCCAGACGGCTGGAAATTACGCACGAGTCTATGGTAGTGGACCCATTAAATCGTTTGTAAACTCCGGCGTAGCCAAGTGTTTCGGACATGGCCTAAGTTTCAGGTTTTGCCCCAAAAGGTACATTGAGCCACATGACTTTTAAAGAGGGCTAATTTCATCAAGCACTTCACAGAAGCGTTTATGTTGTTTTGATGATGTTTCCCGTTTCTAATATACCTTTGTACTGACTGCCAGCCATAGTTAATCTTACTGACAGGCATATGACTGTGCTGTAGAATGTGCCTGAAAAAAAGAGAGAGACCGGTGGAAAATCTATTTGCCCCGCTTTTTGACATGGAAATACAGTGCAATGTGCACAAGTCAAGACGTTGAAAAAAGATCAGGGCAGGGTATCCAACGGCGACAGTCTTAAAATTTGATATCCATAGTACATGCCTTTTAACAAGACAAACAAAAAACTCAAAATAAGTCTGGAACTTGGCTCTGAGGATGAACAGCCATGACCTTTAATACCATATTTTCCTCCACGTGATCTCTGATTTTTTGGAGGGCAATGTTGTAGTTGAAACCAATCCAAGACCTTTCAAGAAATATCGCGTAGCTTGGGATTTGAATATTTCTAGAACGAATTACTCACATTTTTTGTGTACCCTATTATACATGTATCTTTTAGAAAAAGTCCTTGACCTAATCTGTGTCACTTATGGCAATGACTTTGATGTTAGGTCATACGCACGTGTCGATTTCCTGTCCAGATCCATATCTATAGGGCTTTTCTAGCTGTAAATGCATGGACACATGTACTGTATGCTCTTGACATACCTATGTACAATGTAAATGTACAAGTACAGAGGGGTTAGCGTGGCTGCTGTCTTGCAAGCCAATGGCAGTGAATGCTTTTGTTTAACAGGGTATGCACACAGGGGGGTTCACTGTGGAACAAAAGAACTGCCTATCAAGATGGATACTATGCAAAGCCTTTATAGCTCTAGAGGTATGTTGCTGCCCAGATGCATTATAACCTATTAGCAGAATCCACAGCCGTAGACACAAGTTTTAAAGTTTATAGAAATCAGAAGCCTTCGTTCCGCCCCATGGCACTATTCATTAGTACAGTGAATGCATTGCACAACAAGCAGTCCACTTGACCCCGCCATGACATGGACTGCCCGCCAATGTAAACCTTGAATAATAAATTACCCGTACACAGGACCCAGCCATTAGGGTCCACGGTTATACAAGCAGCTCGGGTGAAAGTTGAAAGAATCAACACAGATGGAGGTTGGTTGCTGAATGACAAACCTTGGGCTGTGTAGGCACTAACCCAACAACACAAGGAATTGAAATGTTCTGTCTGTCACACTATCAGTCACGCATGTGGAAGATGGCCCCTTGAAAAGCCAAAAGGGTTGCAAAACTGACATCGAAATGCCAGCAGAGAATGAAATCCAATCTATTATTGGAATGGAAGTGAGAAAATAATCTATACTCTGGGTGAAGTATCTCGCATAAAAACATCAGCTAAGCAAAGATGAATACACGTGGAAATACAGGAGGCCCCACCCTCATCTGTGCATTCAGAAAAACACCTGCAGTGGTTTGCTCATGATCATGTTCTGAACGCGGCTGACGTACATGTAAATCCTCTGGTACTCAGCATGCTAATTGTTGCCCATAGGATCAAGTGAGGACTGGGGGCCGCTAAACAGGGGGATGACGCACTGGACACCCGAGCTACTAGTAGTGATATTCGAGGGGGATATAATTATGTTCTAAGAAATCTTACAGCTTTCTTGTTACCATTCCACACTCTAGTCCTTGGATTTGAGCCATTCACTTGCTCACCACTGCCCACATTTCATTCACCCTTGCCCCAAGTCCTACGATTCTGAGCCTCCACAACCGCACTGTTTTCCAAAGCTGCTACATGTTCTGTTGCGGGCTCACATGCCACTACTTGACATGACACTTGACAGTGACATCTTAATTTTGCTTGTCAACATAGGATCTTAAGATTCTTACACTGATTCACTGTGCATTGTTGGATTTGAGAGGAATCAGAACAGATCCTATAAAAACAAAAAACCTGGAAACTTGGGTTTAAAGGGAAAGACAGCATAAAAGAAGCTCCCTATTACCTGACTAACCCTACATGTACATGTACATTCAATTTCAACGGACTATTTTATGCATGCACCCAGTACCCCTCAAAGTGGTATCATATAATTGGAAACAAATGCGGAAATGCCACCTGACTTCTCTTGCTGTTGTTACTTGAAATCAGTCAACGGCCTGCCCACTGAATCAGAGGACACAAAGAGCGAAGAAAGGGAAACAATTTCCTACCTACATGTACCTACCCTTGTTTTCAGATACCACAGCTGAACTATGGGGGGGGGTTGTATTAATATTAAGGACTACACATAGAGTGCATGTGTGACACAACTGCTACTCAAGGTTAAATGACTATTACAATTATCCAAGGTCATTAGGCGACAAGGCAAATTTCAGCAGCCAACATTAGGGCGCATCTGGCCTCCACCCTTAGGGTACCAATTTAAGAGAAATCCTAATCCCAAGCTGCAAGTGCAACCAGATGCTGGATTCGAACACCTGACCCTATGATTGGGAACCTCAAACTCTAGCAACCACAAATATGCAGAGTTGATGAACACAGGGGGATCTTTTTCACGGAAATAAAACTTCCACTGAAACTACTCTCACTTCTTCAAATCCTTGCCCAATAAAAGTGGCTTTTCACAACAAGTGATTTTGCCTATCAAATTAATTTTTTTTCACATGGCTACTTTGACTTTTGGAAGAAAAGTTTCCAGTTTCAAACACAAATCATCCCTACCCCCATGTTTAAAAATTTCACGTGTGCCCTTGGTGCCTCACTCCTTCATGTTTTATGTGCATTTGGACCTTGAATGCCGTGGGCTCGAAGGTAGTTCTATGCAAATTCATCAGCCTGTTTACATTGCACCCCATCACCTGTGCTGTACTAAATGCAAGAGACAATTTCTTTTGCATTTTAAAAGTAATTTTCAAACAGCTGCATTACATGTGCTGAGTTAATTCCAGGACTGAGATCCTTTCGATTCTACCTGCAACTATCCTGCTTTGTCAAGTGCGGATATAATATGTTTTTATCAGCTATTATTAAAAGGTACGGGCACCATTGAAGTAAAACTGTGTGGTGGCCATACTCGTCAAAAATGTTCCAGTGGGCCGAAACAATTTTGCAATGTGTCAAACTAAAGAAATTGCTCAAGCGGAACCACTGAAGCAAGCATTCTGCCTTCTGTATTTTGCCGTCTTCAAAAGAATGCAGAAATTGGACTGGAGACTACAAACAAAATGCTAATCTTAAAAATTCAATTTATTTACTCCGAACAAACAAAACAAATACAAAAAAGGGTGTTAACATTAACTCCCTGTAATGCCGTGTGTGTGTCTGTCACATACTGCAAACATCTGAACTCCAACTTATCAGAGTACAGTATTTTAGGATGTCCCTGGTTTGCGATGTACCTAGCACATGTGCAGTGAAGTTGAAGCACGAACAACCCTAGTCAACCGTTGTCAGGTCATTACGCCAAAGGGGAGAAAAAGTGGCCGCAGGAAGGCCAAAAATAAAAGTGAAAATGGTCGTTTACTAGTGATGCACTGTTTCTCCGGCATTTTTCTTATAACTGGTCCTCGTTGTACTGTGCTATTAAAATCGTTTATGGCAACCAACGACGTGACCAGCCAACCGAAGTTGGTCGCGAATAGTTGACTTGATAAGTTGATTAGTGTAACCATTGTCAACTAACATGCATTCGATTACAGATAGTCAAACTATGCTGAACTATGGTCCTTCATCGAACTTGCCCATTGCTGTATGTACTAGCCGTACCAAAGTGATGTGACTTGGCTGCAGCTCGAAATTACACAAGTCTGTGACTGTAAGTGCAGCCTCTTCCCATAGAGATGAGTGTTATTTCAAGCCGCAGGCAAGTAAAGTGGACATAGTCTCAGGGTACTGTTATAATGCAAGTATTCTATTGGCTCTAAGCATGACCAAGAGAGGGAGCTTTTTACCAGGTACACTGTATAGATGTCCTTTCAGGAAAGTAAGGTTATGCACTTGAAACTGCATATTGTGTGCTTGCACATATTTCAATTTACCACAGAGGAAAGGGCACAAAGTGAACAAAGAAAGTTTTCCAGGTCCTCAATAGTCTCTTGTCCTTGGTGGCAACTGCCTGTGGTTAGTATGTGGGAGAGTGTCCGGGTAATGTTATACACTATGCTTTCTCCTCTGCCGTATGGAAAAACACGACTATTTACTTATGCATGTCAGGCATGGAGTTTCAAGGTAATTTTGCAAATCAATACTGTTTTCATGAAGACGTCATGAGAACAGCGCCAATAGCTTAACAGCCAATGTGTACGTTAATGTGGGGGGGAGGACTTGTGTACACTGCCCATACTGACAGGGCATTTAAGCACCGTCTGATTCACTGAGTTGACATCTCCACAACTTTTTTAAAAAATGCTCCACTTAAACGAGGTAGCCGTGGAAATCACTGGAACCAGGTGTGGTGCAAAGCGGCGTATAAGCCGATGGGCGCTTGTAATCAGTAGAGCAGGTACGCGTATGTGACAAATCAGGATTAGGATTTCCCTCAGAAGGGGTATGTTGTCGCACAAGGGAGTAAAGGAGTGAGGAAGTGATTGCAGGAGATCTGCCATACTTACAAACACAGCAACAAGCCAGCAGCTTGACAGCAGAGCTGGGCGGGCCACAATTGGGATCATCAACAGTGAAAAATGGCTGTAAGATGTAGTTGGCGAATGTCATGGCCACCACCGCCTGTGCAGTGGGCCGGATGATGACCAGGGTGACCCACAGGAGCAGAAAGGCCGGAAGGTCGCCAAAGGCCGTCAAGATGTAGGCGTAGTCGCCGCCGGACATGGTAATCATGGTACCCAGCTCGCCATAGCACAGTGCCCCAATCATGGAGAAGACACCACATGCTGCCCAGACCATAAGCGACAGCCCCACCGACTTCGTGAAACCCAGGACGATCTGGGGCGAGATGAATATGCCCGAGCCGATGATGATCCCCACGATGATAGTCACGCCGTTGAGCAGGCTTATCTTGGGCTTGAGGCGGACCAGATTTGAGTCCCCTACTGGCTGGCCATTGGCCGTACCATCCTTGGGGGCCGGGGATGAGGGGGCAAAGTCTGTCTTTACAGCGTCTCCACCTTCACTGGCCATTTTCAATCAGGATGTGGTTTCAAATATACACTGTCAATTAGCATGAAGAGGACACTGTACTTGTGGTTCTCTTCTTTCTGTTGTCCTGTGCATAAATTTGAACCAATATCAGTTTAAATGTACAGGTAAGAAAATCAACTTTGCATACATGTACAGTGAAAAGAAACAAAACGGTGTTTTCAAAACAGACCTAACACTTTACATTCCAGCACTACTTTTGAACAATGACTAAATATTATACAACGGCTCCATAGAATACTGAAAACTGAAGCAGGCTTATCATTAAACTACAAAACCAACCAACAATTTGTGGAAAATAAATATTAAGACTCAATATGAAATGTTCTGAAATAATGTTGCATCCCAACTCCACTTCAGCAGCTGTGTACAAAGTCTACGGGGAGTGAAGAAAATTGTCTCTCCTAACACTAACAATCGCGAGCATCCATTCGCCAAACATTACGCAACATTGTTGTTATGAATTATTTTGTTCCCTCTGTTAAATCTTCTGAGCAGGAGCATATGAAATGTGAAAAGGCTTATTATTGTGATTATGGAACTCTTACTTTAGTCCGATTCCCACCTTGTGAACATGAAGTCACAATGACTGTGTTGGCGCAGAACCAGACTAAGATATGCCAAGTTTGTGTAGAGATCAGTGAAATCGGGAAGAATTCCATATACGAAGTTCACTGTAATGTTGCATAATTACTACAAAAGTATCCTTACTTTAATCTTTACTTTGAAAATTTCTCCTAAAAAGTGAACTTCGTATATGGAATTCTTTCCGTGAAATCTTTAGGTCCAAAAAATGAAAAATTACTGTGAAATGTACCCAGCAAAATATTGTTTAGTTAGAATTTGCCGGCGATGGCTGAAATATCCACTGCCTAACTTTACAGAGTCCTAAGCTCAGCTTAAGCTACATAATCAGCTTATCGTCACTGTGATCATTGAACATTTACATGATTTAGCTATTCAGTTTTCGTTCAAAGGACAATTCGTCAGCTGCTCAGGATGGCCTTTGTGCTTGCTGCTGATGCAGGAATGCATAGGCATGGTAGGCCAATTAAACACCTTTTTTATGTGATGTGCTGGTCCATCATGCACGAAGCTAGTGTACAATGGGTGTGAGTCTCGCCTAAAAGGTCCTTCCTGAAAAATTGCATTAAAAGGTCCTTATTGACAAGATTGAAAAATACTAAGCCCACTTTAAAGATGAAATCGGGCAGGAAAATTTGTTGAAATTTAATATTATTTGCCTCAGCAAACTACTTTAATAAATAAAGGTAAAACAAATGCAAGCTAGTCTGTTTCAAGACATTTCCTTAATGCTCAGAGTAAGGCCCTAAAGTAAGAGTATTTTCAAAAATTTGGTCTTTGCTGTAGTGACCTTTTACTAGTTTTAGCATGTAAAATACACACGTGTTCGACAAAGCCGCGCCCAAAATGATACTTTGTATACTACTATACTACTAGTAGTACTACTATTACTACTTATATTACTATTAGGCCTACTAAAATTTAAAAAAAATTGTGACGACAAGGCACCGTGTACGCACACGTGTACGTACAAGCACCACCTTCGAATCGAAACAAAAAGTCGTTCAGATCGCCCTCCAACTTGAAACAAACGGGGTTATTCAGTCTAATGCTGCAAAACTTTGTATTTCTGACTTCTTACCTAGAATTTTCCAAAGATCTTCAAGACTCCGTGGAGAACAGCGGAATAATTTGCATCCAGATTTTCGGCTTCACATACAACACAAATCAGACCTCGTGTGTAAGAATGCCGGCAAAGCGCGCGTTTTGACCCATACCCGTAAACTCGCCTTAAGCTTTCCTGCTCATATTTGTTTGGGCTGGTACCACTATAAATAAGGGGCCACAATAAACAGGGGGTTGCATTATTTAATAACATTTGCATTTTATTTGTTGACAATGACATGATAGAATTCATAAACAAAGAGGCTGTAATACATGTACATCAACAAAACTTTATCAACAACTTTACAATCAAGTATTTGTATTTTCATGAGTCATAAGTTCCTCATTTTAATTTGCAACGTTACTGTACACCCCTGATAAAATGTCGTTTGTCCCTCGTGATCACTCAGACGGTTGCATCACCACACAAGAATACAACGTATCCAACGCTGATCAAGACCTGGCGCGGCTTCTGGTAGTGGAACCATGTGGTGGGAAATTTCCACTATAAAAATTGTGTTTACAAAATTCCTGCCCCACTTTTCCATTCATAAAAAACAAGAGTCAGCGTGCATTTTAATTTGAGAAGTTTGAGAATACCACAAGGACAATCCATGGTTTAACCAAGTAAAAGTGAAGTCATGGTGACGTGTTGGTTTCTTAATGCATGGTGGAATAAAACACAGACAGCTGCTAAATTTAAACCCGTTTCAATTTCAGATGTAGGAAATGATTGATACTTCAATTCGGAGCTCGCATTGATAACAATAAAAAAATGTCAGCAGTCTAAATGCGTACCTCACCCAAGCATACACATTTTGAAGTCATTATACAAATATGGGGGCAGGTTTTCTATTTTGTTTTTTATTATTCACCTTATTTATTTGCCGAATTAGTTTCTTAGCCATGCATTGCACTTTGTTTTATTTTCTTGATTCCTGTGCATGAGAATCTAACAATGAACTCGTGTTAATCCAGGGCATGAGTTGCCCAAACAATCGAATACTACAGCGGTTAATAATATCCATTTCAATAAGTAAGCTACATCTGTGTGCTGGCTCGTCAGCTCTCTCAGGCTTTACATACTCTAAAAAGAGGGCGCTGTTCTGTTTTGTTGGGGGTGTCTAATTTTTTTTGGGGGGGTGGTATAAATCGTCATAATTATGGCGAAGAATGGGAGGTAGTCCTTCCGGTGGGTATAGGTGAACTCTTTATCTGACATTAATGCAAGACTGTCCATAGGTTTTGTTCTCCTTACCAGGACGCCAGAGATGCTTTGACGGCACACTTCTGATCGAATGCGAAAATGCTCAGATTTGTTATGGAGCAGGCTCGGTAAAAGCTATAACGAGTTTGACCGGGAATTCAACTCCATCTCAAAACTTACACAAGTAATGAACACGACCCCATTGACAAACGAGGTTAAGTTCCTTTGTATGAGTTGAGATTATCAGTAGTTGTCATTAAGTCGTCAGCATTTTTCGTTATTAAAAATCAGAAATAAGCAGACACCATAAAATCCACAAGTCAAACGTTATTTCAAATAACTGTACAGTTTGATTAAATAAAGCCTTTTATTCCGCACAGGTAAACAATTTCACTCAAAAGAAACACCTTTTTATGTTATTCCAGCGTCTTAGTGGCTTGGTACACACATGAAAGAACGGATGAAAGTGGTAAAAGTAATACTGGAAGATGCGATGATAGCATAATGACGGTGACATGTGCAATTACACGAGGTCAACTTCTCCCACGGGCCCCGAGTGCTTAGTTTGGAGGAGGGCATGGGCGGGGATATGTCCCCTTTTTGACGGCGGGATTACCAATTATTGTCTCCCCGGGCCTTGCTAAGCAGACTAGAATTACGCTCACAAGTAGCAAAATATAGCCAACTGAATGCCAGAACATTTTCGAGATCTAATCGGCTGGAGTTGAAAACTGAAATTTTTCAACTTCTGCGAATGGTGGAATGAATCATATCAGAAACAGATGTCCTAAGAAAAGTGATCTGTTTGACCTGATGATAATGGACTTCTTTCCCCGGGCCTGATTTTTTCCCCGTTAATTCAATGTTGGCCACTCGAGAATGCGCACTAGAACAAACGAGTCCAAATTTAAAGGGAGTCTTTAAGTCAACCTGTTTGAAACAAGGCTATAACTGAATCTCTATCTAATCTCTATTTTTCTCGAAAGACCACCAAATTATTAAAATAAGGCTTAATTTACAGCAGCAAGGCACTTGTTCATTTTATGCATATTTTCTCGAAATGTCAACCACAATTCCCTTGCTATACTACTTGTTTGTCGGGTATCAAGCCTTCAACATCACATTAACATTAGGTCTTGTGCAAAATAGGCTGCAACGAGTTATGCAAAACTGGGCCGAGTCCGGAAATTATCAACTGCAGCTGGCAGAAACACACGTGTCTATGGAAAGGGGATGCCTCCGAGCACGCATGCGTATTATTTACCGTTCCTAGCCGTTTTTCATACCCAAAAAGGTGAGAGACGATATTGTGTTTGAAGCCTCTATACACGTTGGTCGTGAACACTGCGCCTAGGTAATGCGAATGATGCTGTTAACCAGTGCAAAGTGAGGCTTGTCTCAAAACTTTGTTTCATGCATTGCTATTCGCGTTGATTCATGGGTATTTACTCCGTGGTATACATTTTGTTACTGTGGGCGGTCTTTTCGGCAGTAGTATACTCCATCGCCGCCGAAGTATCCTGAAAATTACAAAGAAAGAATCATCTGTCAGTTCCAACATAAGGGCAAATTTATTCAAGCAATTTACACAACGAGAAGGTCTCTTGCCCAAATAAAATGGGTGATAATAAGAATGTTTATTAGAATTATTAAGTGGGCTGAGTAACTCCTAACGCTAAAAATAATATTGGTTTATATCCTACAACATAAGCTGGAAACTTTGTATTTTAATTAAAAATCGTAATTGAATGCCAAAAATAGAATATACATGTACATTGAAAAGGCCATGGTAAAGTTTTCATTAAATATGTATTTTAGAACATTTTAGTGACGTTAAGTTTTATCAAATATTCTTTACCTTGTCCTCTAAGGTTGTCTCCACAGACAGAGCATTTGAAGCAGTCAAAGTGTACACCTCGTCCCTGGACTTTGGCAAATTTACCCCTGAAACGGTACCAGTAAAATACCACGAGTAAAAACAATGCCAGAGACGGGCAAAATGCGATTTCAGATAACACTTGAAAGAGAATTCTATTATGGTTATAGAATATGACAGAATTTGTCAGCGAATAGCGGCATTTTCAAATTTGGGACAAGGGTGAGGCTGTTTTTGACTAGGCAGTTTTGTCTATTCACCTTTAATATATACTTTTTGGAATCACCTTCATCTTTTTTAAAATTTGATTATTTACTAAATAAAAAATTACAATGAAATGCAAAAATTCACAAAGCAAATGAATACCGCAACCAGAATCCCTTTTCTGAAATAAATGTATATAATTTAAAAAAAAGAGCAAGTTTTCTGGGTCATACTTGAGTTTTTCACCACAGATGGCACACATTCTGGCGTCGTATGACTGCAGGGGTTTGGGTGCCTCTGGGGCTTTCTTCTTAAAGACGGTTTCTCTACCTGTCTTTTCACCGCTGAAAATAGAGGGCGCTGGGGAAATGGAGAGTACGTGTAGATTATACCGAAGACGACAACTATTGGTTGGAAGAAACATCACTGGCGAATGGGAGTTTAATGATTTGATTCATGAGTGTCAACAAGTAATACAGAAACAATGGTGAAAGGTAACCAGTGATGTTTTTGTGCAGAGGGGCGCACACAAAGTGGTACATTTATTGTGTAAGTGTATAGACGAATGTATACCTGGATTCTCGCGGATAATCTTCAAAAATGTTAAATACACTGCTCTTTAAATTTGGTATAAAAGAACTGCACTTGTCTATCGAGGGAGTCAATAAAATGTATCAGTGCTGTTCATTTGAAAACACATTTGATCTTGACAATACAACTTTGTCATGTATGCTCAATTTGCTTGAGTTCAAAAGCAGTTGTGCGTAGGCCTATATTCACACCTCGGTCGACGATCGAAATTCTTGGCCGACAAGAATATAACACCAAATCAGGGCTCTGAAATATGTGATTGCCGAGCTTTCGGTAACTGAGTACCTTCTTCAGGGCAAGCAGATTCTTGTCGATATTCTGATCACGGTGCTAGGCAGCCCTTCCATATTTTTTTCGAAGTTCTTGGCCAGATGTCTTGTGCAGTCTACAATATGAGCAAACTATAGCTACAAAGCCTCTTCTCTGGGATGTTTTCGAGAGGGGGATTTAAACAGTTCTGTTATCAGAGACTGAACCCGGAGAATCTTTTATTATCTGCAAATCCGGGGGGTGATTTTATTTACCTTCCCCCGACTCCAGTTTCTTGAAGGATTCGGAGACGGTAAATCGGTTGGAGACGAGCCCTTCTCCCGTCTCGGCAATCTCCTGCTGATCCATGACCGGCCTCTCAATGGGAGGCAGGTCTTCGTCATCATCACCCTGACGACGAACACAAAAACAAATAATGACTTTTTGCATCGGTTTGACAAAAGAGATACGCGAGCTCTCTTTCGATCAATACTCGGGTTACATCGTTGAAAATCTGGCTTTATCTGTCTCGAGATGATGACAGAGTACCAAAGATTGATAGCCCATGATACACTGAAAAACCAAACATCCATCGCAGATATACACATGTGAGTCACCATACTCCTGTACCATATCTCGAAACTTGGATGTCGTCTCTGTAGAATGGTAGTGGGCAGAGAATCTTGGTCCCGCGCAAATTCGCAACCACCTTTGGGAAGTGGTCTAAAATATGCAAGGTTGACAACATCTTAAATCTAATGCCACCGCCTTATAAGTTTGCATTGTAAAATGAACGATTTACAATTTTGATAAGATTTTTCAGTAATGTTGACATTACATATTTTTCCTGTTTCTGATATGACTTTGAAAAGAACTAGGCCGGTAGCTTTGATAAACAAAGAACAAAAACAATGTAAACAGAAGAACCTTATGAATTCATGTGAGTATATAAAACCCCCCGAGCCAAGTCGACCAACATAAAACCCATTCCATTTATTTGGACGGCGTTACTCACATAGGAGTGGTACCCCCGGTCCAACATACTTGACATTCCAGTCACGTATTAGCATACCCTTGGATGTCAAGGCTTTAAATAACATAGTTTACAAAGTACACCAGGAATATGTCCTACATCACAATATCAGCACAACAGCATGCGACATAATATACCAACAATATTCGATTTAAACAAACGATCATGCAGGAACTGGTATTTTTGTATAACAGCTAAGGTAAAAGTGGATTTCCTTTCATACCCGGCGGAAGACGCGAAATATTACTTTACTCCGGTGCGTCATCTTGGTTACAGTGTCATTAAAGGAGCGTCATCATAAGAGACAATTACATGTATTTAGTGTTTTTTTTTTTTAAGTGTCCGTCATATCTGGTATCAAAATGCACTGGGTGGTTACTGCTGAAGCATTCATAAATTTGCAAACTATGTTAATCATTGTTTTTCCGGGGAAAAGTAGAGTAAATTCTCCACTTGTTAGAACAGGTAAATCTTTTAAATTCACCATTATTCTTTTCATTTTATGTTTGGGCTTTAAACAATCAGAAAACATAAAAGTGTAGGACCACTCATTAGTCTCCTGTGTTGCACTTTTGTGTAGCCCTAACGAAATGCAAGTGCTTTAAGTTCTTCACACGTATACCGGACACCCTCTGAGCATTATGACCGACGTACCTGCATTCATTACCTGTAGTAAGGCCTCGCTCTAGTCTTCAGCAAGGCTTTGTAACATGCATACATGTACAGTATACATAGTGTTTCCACGCAGTGAAGCAGTAAAGCAAAAGTTTTGACCCCAAGCCCTCGTGATAAGTCACAACGTGATCGCAGTCACGACATGATGATGAAGTGAAAGTAAGAGGACAATGATCAACAGTTTCGGCTGGCACCTGGCACTACAGCATAGAAGTGCTACGTGCATGAGGAAAATCTGGCCAGAGAGCTGTATTCGTCAGCTATATCTATACAACAGCTGCAGCTGAGCAGTTGATTCCAGCACGATCGCAGTTTATTTTATTGACAGCTTCAGCTCCAGTGAGTTACTTAAAAACATGCACAATCTGGGCCCTGTGCACTACAGTTTTGTCACACTCACAGCACAGACTGCGAACACGTGTATAGATGCATTTTTAAATAAATTATACAACAGACCTGTAAATAAGCCATTGTGAAATGTCTGCCAGGACCGAAGTTTCCTCGGCTAAGAGACTTGTCCAGACAGAGGTAATTCACTTCCTACTCTCGCTGGCTGGCCGTCTGCTCTCCATAAACATCAGCTTGTTGAGGAGACACATCATCAACTCCCTGAAGAGTGAGTTGACAGGGGGCGCCCGGGTATGATTCACACGGGTCGACCAGACTTGTCATGATTCACCGTAAATGACGTTGACGTTGCGCACCGTAATGTGATGGTCAGCCAAGGTCGGATAAAATGGTCAGCCAAGACGGGGCAGCGATTTTGAGCTGTTTTGCCTCAGTCTCAGTTCCCGTCGCAATGAGTGATTTATGGCCACAACGAGCAATGGTATTGACCTTGAACACCTTGGTTGGCGCATTATTACGAGTAAAACTTAAGTGCAGAGTACCTTGGTATAGTGCCGCATTTTTTAATCAACGGATGAAGTGGCATCAGAGAACGAGAACTGCGATCCAAAAAAGTAGAGCCCACTTCAAAAAACCTACGAGAAGGGGGTAGGTGTGTTGGATTGGGTGGGAGGAGTTAGGGGCGCAAACCAGTATCGATTGTCCGGACAGTTATAGAACACAACCCAGCGTTATACACAAGACGCAGGAAACTAAAGCAAACATGATGGCACAGGTCCAGCGGCGTAAATTTGCGCCAGAAATTGGATAATGGGGGGAGGGGGTATTTGCCCGGCTGCGAAAATTTGAAAAGCGGAGGGGTGACACCTATGCACTATACAGGGGTAATGTTCATGCATCGTATTTATGCAGAATATTGCCATCAGGATGGCACATTGATTATTATTATTTATCAAATTGTTAACCCTTTTAAAGTGATGTGGAATACATTTTAGTTGACGGGGATTCCGAAAAACCCTTCACAATCCTCTTACATTTTTCTCACCACGAAAGGCGGGGGAATTTATTCAAAAGGTATATGATATAACCCCATTCCGCGGGATTTACGCCCATGCGCTATCTGTTCAACCATTGGTTCTCTGAAGAAACAAAATTAATGCGGCATTAACAGAGAAACATACTTACCCACAAGGGGAGGAAATTGTTAATTTTTTTTTTACTGAGAACCGTGGTTTTTTTTCTGATTCGTTTCTCGGTCCACTTTTGACAATAACAATTTGGCACCAACGTAATACAAGTGTGTCTCTTGGAATCCTAGCCTAAGGCTTGTTTGATGATAACTGATCAGAAAAGTATCTAAATATTCGTGATTATGTAAATACTCCACACACGTGGCTATTTGCTCCAATCAATCAAGTCGCGGCTATATACTGTAAGGACGTATGCAACGGGGACCTGAATTCAAGTTAGGAATCGAGTTCAACGCATGGGAAGCTTTGGCCTCTGAGTGCTTAGCTTGGAGGGAGGATGTGCAGCAAGGCCTTTCAAGCTTTGAAGAGAAACTTGCTCAACAAACAGAAACTAAGAGACAAAGGCAGAAGACCCGAAGCCAGAGAGACAGATCAGCAAAAAACCTCATCTGCCATCATCGTGGAAAGGACTATCACTCCCGAATCGGCCTTTCCAGCCACACCAGACGCTGTTCCGAGACTGAAGGTTGCGTACAGGTGAATATTCGTGATTATGCAAATAGTACGCACACGTGGCTATTTGCAGTAAGCAAGTCGTTTCAAGCTGATTAATTCCAATCTTAATCAATTCTTAGCGCTGGGTAAAAAAATCAGTAATGTTCTGGCTATAAGTCAAAGAATTTATGTAAATGCTCAACGTAAAGCAATACTATTCACTGATTCTCAGTCTAATTATAATGTAACTCACGCTATTTTTTTCACAAAATTAATTAAAGCTTGGACTTTAATTGCAAGATTATTGCCAGCGAAATGCTTTGGCGCCCTCATTAACGCTTTGCAGCCAGTCATCTACCCCGTCTGATAAAAGCGGCTGAAATGGAGACTACTAAAGGTTCCCGAGAGATATGGCGGTTCAACGCTGCATGGATATGATGCAGCTGGCTCTGTATCGTCGTAATATAAACCGCATACGCATCGCTACGTGTACCACTCGTATATAAAGCGTGCTTCAAGTGCCATGGTGGTACACAATACACTGTCTTCGAAGTTGTGGCTTCCCACTCCATAAAGTGGTTGTTTCTGGAGGACAGTGCGGGCCAGAAATGGAGGAGTTGTTGCCACATCCCTCCCCTAATGTGTCGTTGAACGGTAGCGCCGGCTGCCACAGCAGTATGGATTTTGTGGAGGACGATCAAGGCTCTCAGATTCTGACCAAACTCCGTAAGCAGCGGTCCGACGACAAGTACTGCGACATGGTGCTGCGGGTCGGCGGACGGGTGTTCAAGGCCCACCGCAATGTGCTGGCGGCCTGTAGTCCGTACTTTGATACCATGTGCAATAGTGGGTTGGAGGAGGACATCCAGGCCGTGGCTGACATGTCTTGCACTTCAGCCGAGGGCATGGAGTTGATTTTAGACTACATGTACACAGGTAGGATCACGCTCACTGCCGACAACGTGGAATGCATCCTGAGGGGAGCCGAGCCGTTCCTCATGGCCAATCTGAAGAACTATTGCCACAAGTTTCTCTGGCAGAACATGAATGCAGCCAACTGCCTGGTGGTCAGGCACTTGGCTGATTTATACGGGTTTAAAGAGTTGCACCAACGGGCCTGTAAGTTCATCCGCAATCAGTTCGTGAATGTTGTCCAGGATTCCATTGAGGACATTCTCCTGTTGAGCCAAGAGGAGATTCTCGGCTTGATCACAGATGACAAGATCCGTGTGGAAAAGGAAGAGAGTATCTACGAGCTGGTGATCCGATGGGCTCAGATGGACCCTGAGAGGGTTAAGCACCTGCCTCAGTTGCTGTCGCACGTTCGTCTGTCCCAGCTAGACCGCAGTTACCTCAAAGATGTAGTGGAGAAGGAGCCCTTGGTGACTGGCAACAGTGAGTGCTTAAAACTCCTGGCAGATGCTCTCCACCAGACTGACACCACCAGAAGAAGTTACTGCAGCGACAGTCCTGTCCTGAAGCCACGAAAGGGACGACTGACGGACGTGGTGGTCATCACTGGTGGGGTCAGCGATCAAGGGCCGTTGGAGAACAGCTTCGGGTACATCATTGATGAGGATCGGTGGACCATGTTGCCAGGGCTACCGGACGAACTTCGTTTCCACGCCGTGGCCGTGCTGAACAGCTGTCTGTATGCAGCTGGTGGGTCCAGCAGCAGTCTGGTGTCCAACAGCGTCCACTGCTATGACCCCATGAACAATTCCTGGAGCACCGTGGCCAGCCTACAGACTCCCCGTGAATACATGTCCATGGTTGAGTGCAATGGGTGCCTGTATGCCATGGGGGGCATACGGTGGGACTGCTTACAGCAAAGTGTAGAAAGATACGACCCCGACGTTGACCAGTGGAGCTTTGTGTCTCAGATGCCTACTAAACGCTATTCCATGCAGCTCGTCACCCTTAGTAACCGGTACATATATGCCATATCAGGTCGGGATGCGTCCCGACGGCCAGTGTCCACCGTCGAACGATACGATATCCAGACTGACGAGTGGACTATCCTGCCTGACATTCCCATCCCTCAAGGTGACCAGCCCTGGGAGTTCCCCATCGTTGAGGCCTACGACAACAAGATCTTCGTCACAGATCTGGCCACCAAGTCCTTCAGCCTGGACGCGGTCCGCAACAAGTGGTCCGAGGAGGCGTGCAACTTTGGCCCTGTGGCGAGCCGCGCTTGCCTGCAGTACTGCACCATGGAGAAGAACGTCTTTGTGTTTGAGGGCTGCAATGCTTGCATCTTTAACCGTAAACTCGGCCTTTGGAGCAACATCACACCCCCGCCTGTCTCCACGTTGGCATCGGCGTGCTGTGTGCTACAAGTGCCTTATGAATTCCTCGGCAAGACATAGGGCCATTTTGCGATGCCAAACATAAATCAGGTGAGCTTTCAATTCAAACAGTTGCAATGTCCAAAATTTTTCCCACCAGGACAATGGAGGAAAGAGTTAGCTTTCAAGTTGCACTCAAAGACTAAATCTTCTAGAGCTTTGGAGCATCTTTTGAGGCCAATTTTGGCACTGTTTTCAATAGTAGTATTATTAGGGATGGCATTCACAAGTTTTGCAATTTTGGAGGCTTAACCCTAACACTCCTCAGTCCTCCAACAGGTGAAGGATTGAGGAGGGTTAGGGTTAAATATGTGTAAAGTGTAGATAAAAATTTAAATATCATTTTGTAACTTGTTTTTAACTCCTTAAAAAAAAGCATTTAAAAAGAGGTGTAAGAACTTTGACTATCGAACCCCACAAAGTCAAAGCTTGGTCCCTCTTCTATTCTGAGCCTTTTGGCCTGCTTTGAACATATCCTAAAAATGGTTTTTTTTACAGAGTGCACTACAGACATTCTCACAATGAGATCTGAATGTACGTGTAGAACTCTCATTTATTCGAAGACCACCCGTTTGTCTGCCTGCAAAAAGGTCAGACGCTTAAGTGTGAATGGTTTGCCCGTAAATTTTGCAAATTACGCTGCACTTTGTAGATTGACCCAAAATAAAATTGATGGTGAAATGTTGGAATTACGATGTACTATTCACTAAAGCAGGTTTGAATACAGGTCTTTCATTTTTTTTTAAAATCTCTGATCAGCTCCAATTTCATGGCTCAGAGTTTATTCTTGGTTTTAAATTTCCTGTTCAAATTAAGTGAATTTAGCTTAACTCTAACAGTTCTGCATAAAATTTGGTTTGCAGTACTCAGTACTACGAAGTAGTAGTCTGAACCCGAAGGACCTAGCACTACAAATTACTACTTCTGGCTAGGGCAACCTCCATTGTTACTTGTACAGAGAACAATAAAGTTGTGCATTCATAGTGCCACAGCACTGTATGGTACCGGTACATTGTCTTATCTATTGTATTTTATGGCTTCCGAGAACAATAAGGTCATGTCCTCTTAAAAGCGACAGCGCTGAATACTAGGCTACTAAGTAGTACTTTGTAGTATTCACGGCTGTTAGGGTTAATTAGTTTAATGTCTTACGTGTACATGTACCTATTTGCATGGGGATACATGGGTACATGTACAGTGTATGGCCAGGTACAAGCTAGCTTTCTGCCAGCCAACACCATTCATATTGTTTGTGTTGCAGAAACTATGGTGTCTAAAAACTGTTGATCAAGTTGAGCAATTTTCTAAATTGTTCTGACTTTGACCATTTTCTCTGCAGCTCATTTGCACATGTAGGGTGCGTGTCATAGAGCCCATCTAAATTCAATCCGGGTTAAAACATCAAATGTCTAAGTACATTTAATTTGAATGAAGATGAAATATATATCTATTATGCCAAGTACTGTACCGGTAAGTTGCTAATTTGTTTGTCAACGCCATGCATACAGTATGCCAAACTTGAAATTTCAGTTTTAAAGATTTATTTACTTGTAAGACTTCATCCTCCGTAGATTGACTCTCTCTATCTATCGATGTTTTTCTGTTCATTTCTGGTGTTCTAAGAAACAAAGTTTAAAAAAAACCTGCAGGCATATGCAAATTGACTTAGCATGCAAATTTGAATGATTAGTTCCGTGAATTTTGCTGTTGGTGTGGGCGGAAGGGATTTCTTTTCCATTGCTCTACTCGATTACATTTCCACTTGAAAACAGCAACCTGCACATCCATAAATCATTGGGCCGAGATTGGCAAAACGTCTTCCATCCTCTGTGAGACAGATTTTTTTTTATATGCTTTATTCACGATCAAGTGAGGTCCCTCGGGATAGTTGTGGATAAATCCATGTTTGGACCAGAGATTGAAAGACCAACCATGTTATGTGCGGCACTGCCACTTTTTTTGGCTTCAAAACAAAAAACCAGACATGTTTCTCTAATGTGTTTCCCCTGACAATGGTTTCCCCATTGATTGGCTATTGATTTCGGAGAAGTGCCCGCCAAAAAATTGACTCTCGCAGGTCGTTGGGTCAATAAGCTTCAGTCCCGGCGCTGCAGATCAAAAAAGCTTTGCTTTGTCAGAGCATGAGCAGAGACAAGGATATTGGGTTGGCAAGCCCCACCCTTACAATCCAGTTTGTTAGAGAGAAGAATGGCTGAATGACCTGATTGAGAACAATTCTCCTCAGATATTCTGAAAAAATGTAGTATGGATTCATTTCCGAAAGGAAGAGAATGTGTTTACATGCTATTTGACAATAGTATTAGATCTATTGATTGGCCGTTTTCATGACTGCACAGTGTTCGTGTACATATACATCTCTCTTCTGGAATTACCAAAGTCACTTTCTCCAGCGCTGATGAATCTAGGCATGTGATCCCTGCCGAATGTAGGCTCCTTTAATCATTGAAGCACACGGAGGAAAAAAGTCTAACCAGTTAACGTGCATGGAAGTTCTCCCTTTTCCGTTTTAAATTTGTATGTACAGTAACTTCTCCAGTCTGTACAGAATTTTTGTAATTTTTTTCTGAATTCCCCACTTGAGCGTCTTTTTAAGAAAAGATTGTCATTGAGCTGCCATTCTGTATCAGGCAACAGATTTTTCAAGATTCAGACTAGAACCAACAATGCCTAGGGAATTGGGGCCAATGTTCCATTTTCAGCGGAGCCCAGAGCCCTCTCCACCTTTATTGTGTCTTCACTATTGCTTGTGTATCATGCTTTGAAAAGCAAATGCGTGTACAAGAATGCACCACAGCACCCGTACATAGGATGAAGCACAGAGAAAGGATGTACTGGCTCCAGCATGCCTTCAGCATCAGGTTATATGGGCGTGACTTTGAGGAACTGGTGTGAATATACGTGTACATGTACAGTACATTGTATTGGTCACCCATGTGTTCCCACAGTGCTGCGAATGGTGGCTTGCTGGGTTCATGAATACATGTAACACGCTCACCATGGCACTGTCAGAGACACTTGAGGAAATTCATTTGGCTTCCAAAGGAATTGTGGTCAACTTCCGTGACCCGTCACCGATTAAACGTTAGCGAACGGCGGATTACTATACGTTATGTTCCATTAGTGTGACCAATGAGGCGTCCAAAACAATGACTGAGCTTGGAGAACGTAGCACAAAGCCTGAAGTCCTGTCTAATAATTAACCTCTTTGTTAGACCTTATACACTTCCTACTTGTAATCTGTTTTGTATGAGGGAATAAGCTGGCCGCCCACTGACTGCTTTTGTAGCAGTTGTAGTGATGTTTTGTTGTCGTCAATTACAAGGAGGATTTTCTGGAAATCTGTGTCCAGATTACAAGTTAAAACCCCCACTTCCTGCTTTTTCAGTTCTCCAAATGGTTGAGTTTCTTTCTTTCTTTTTTTTGTAAGAGAGTCTTGAAGATATGGAAACAGGATTTGAGGCTCCTGCTGTTGGTGCATTAGGGTAGATTTTAAAGCTCTCAGGAAATGATGCTTTTAAGTGAGTAAACACTACTCGGTGCTTGAAGGGAAATTTCTGGGAGGAATCTGTTCTCCAAGGCTCAGAAATGACATCCTTGAATGGATTGATTTGGTTTGGTTTCGGGAGAGACTGGAGTCTGGGCTTCATTTTCTACATCGAGTGAGAGAAAGGCTTAGATAAGAAGAAACCTTGAGATAGAAGTAGCAGATTTAGAGGGAATGCACCGATTGCGTGCCCCCTCCAAGTTGGCACATTTGCAATACAAATACACCTGTATATTTGCTCATGCATTGGTGAAGCAAGTGCCAACTGAATGAGTGGATACTACATGTATTCATGTAAACTTGTGGGTCGTTGGCTGTTGCAACCTACATGTATACATGTTGAAACTCTAATCCTATCAAGTGATTGCCATCAATTAAATACATGATAATCATCACTCCCCCAAGTATTTATGTTTGTGTACAGAGGAGTTTGGCACACAGTTGATTGTAAACTTTGGTCTGGTGACCTTAGTAACACTTACCACTGTGCCTTAAATTTCCATAGTACTACACTAAACCTGCTCAGACTGACGTTTTATCACTGTTTACATGCTGACCTTGCATGTGAACTGAAGCCTGTTAATTAACTAATGTAAACATGGTAGATGACGCCTCTACAGAGTGTGGGCAGAGGCAGCATGGGGTACATTCCCCCGATCTGTTCACTCTGACTGGAACTGAATCACTGCACACCTTCTCATCTGTGGGGTTGACAGGGACCGTTTCAACTGGATGCTTCAGCCCGGTGCACGTGCGAAGAAATTGGTAGTGCTTGCTCAGTTTGGCCATCCCCATTCAATTCTGTCCCAAGAAATCTCTTATTCCTGAAGCAGATATTCCAGTAACTGTTTATGGAGAGCAAGTTCACCTGCATGTATGTATTATGAGGTGCCGAACTGAAAAGGATGAACATGTATGTAGCAATATGTGCCTTGTTCATTCATACCAACATCCATCTTCATGTTCGGCGTGTCTATATTTTTGTGATTGATTGAGTGAGTGTGAGGCGTGGGCCGGTGGTTCTGTGTTCAGCAGCGCATGAAATTACCAAATAACACCCGGCTGACAAAAAACGTAAACCGTCATCTGTAGGAACCGGGAGCAACTGGCGATGAGTTTGGTGAAAAGCAGCAGTATCATTATGAAAAGCGTGGGTGGCGAGGGAATGTGTGCACAATATGTACATCGCACATGTACATGCAGAGGGAAAGCAGAGGGTTTATGGCAGTTAAATGTTACAAAAAAGTAGAAAAAGTCCAACCATACGACAAAAGAAATCATTGAGCCTCTCAATCACATGGGAAATATAAAAGTAATAGCCAAAATAACATGAGAGAGGTTGAAGTCAAAACAATTCAACATATTTTTTCCTCTCACAGTATATATGCTTGTATTAGAGAGTTTGAAGGTACTGGTGCTTACATGTACATGTACCCGCAGATCTGTCAACCTGGTGCTAACCTAATTTTAATTTGAAACCTATGGT